TATCCTTTGGCTCACTATATACATTGCTATGCCCATCAGTTAAATTTTAATATAGGGATCATTAATGTTGTGTATGAAAATAGAGCGTCTCTCATTGAGTGTATGCATGAAATAGAAGAACATTTCACCAACAACACAGTTTATAGTGCTGCCGCCTCTATTCGCCGTACATTAAATGATCCGATCTGCAAGCCAAAAAGCGTGGCAAATACGCCTACAGCGTGACGTCTGGCAACCTTATATCCCATTAGTGTGTAATTGTTTAATGTTTCAATTTGTGTTATAACCAAAGAAAAAGGTTTGACTTGGCTATAACACAAAGAAGGTCTGGATATGTTAAAGAGGACGGCGTTTTCTCTGTAAATCTGAAGAATGTAAGGATAAAGGGAAGACGAATCTTGCTGGCTCAGGTGTAGATGGCTAGAAAAAGGAGCGTGTTGATGAAAGCTCCAATAAATATCGTCACTTTTATCTAATTTTTTATTCTCACTCACCGTTTCGGCTTTATCTTCGAAATTAATTTTTAAAAGGAAATAAAAGTAATCATTCATACAAGCATATAATAAATCAACATGAATTCATTATATTTAATAAGCCAATAAACGTTTGTTTCAATGAAAAAAACATATGTGAATATAAAAAATATATAAATAAATAAGATTAATATCAAAATCAATTTGAAAATACAACAATTAATAAAATGAAATAAATTAATACAAGTACAAATAGAAAGTTAATAACATACCTATTAAAAGTAACACATTTTAAGTAGATAAATGTTTAAAGAGTTTATTCCTGAATATAACTAATCTTACGTTTTTCCCCTTTAAAATATTATGAGGGTTTTTGTAGTTGAAATGAAAATTATAATTTATTTTGGTCCTAATAAAAATTTAAACTTAGGTTATCAAAGAGTAAAATACATAATAGAACTTCATAATCTTAAATCGTTATTAAAAATTATTAATGGTTCAAACAATACTTAGATTCTTAAACAAATTTCTAGTTTTTGTTTTGCAAAAGACTTTTTTGCCTTCTTTGGTTGCCTCTGCCACTTTTGTTTAAGTAGTTTCGAGGAGAATTTTCCTATCGAAACCAGTAGAATCATCAATTGGTTGGTAAAATTTTGATATTTTGGGTCTGGTAAGTCTTGTTAAACTTTCTTCTTAGGAAGCTGTAACCTTATGGAGAATAAAAATTTAATGTTAGATCAAAAGCTCTTAATTGAGAATTATATTTGCAAAGGCCGTTTTAATAATATTTTTAAAAGTTCTTGGAATCGTTGTTAACAGAAACCTGCAAAAAATATATCATTTTATTCCTAAAATATAAGATATCACACAATACACATTCATATAATATTATTGTGCTAGAAAAATACTAGGTAGGTACTGAGACAATTTAAAAAAAATATTTCGAGAAACTCAGCTTTTAATGTCATCATTGTACTTAACTTTTGTATTGCTAAATTATTAATAATGTCATTTTGTGTAGTTCCTTTTGATTTGTATAATATATATTATAAAAACTTATCGTCAATGTTAATGTGCCAATTTTTTTTAATAATTATGTCCTTGTTATAGTAAAAACACATTTAAACACATTTTTAAAGTTTTCTGGATTTCTGCTTTAAATTATCGTACAATTGAACTGACTAATTGTGTGTTTAAGTAAAGGTAGATCTCTTTTTTGTTATAACAGTCTTTGTATATTGTTCTAACTTTTTAGATAATCAGAGAAAACAGTAAGATATTGTAATATATTCTATTTTACCAACAAAAATGTAGAATAATTAATCTCACATCAAACGAAAAAAGTCATTTTAGGATGTCCTAATAGGTTTTAACATAAAAACTAAATAAAATGTATATTGCAACTGTGTTTAAATAAATGAATGTTTTTATACCTGACTATAGCTCCAGAAAAACATTTAGATCATAATGATCTAAATTTTAGATCATAATTTTAGATCATAATGATCTGCATAACTCAAAATAGTCAAAATCCACATTATTTAAGTTGTTTTTTAGCATAACGATGTAAACTCCAATAATAAATATTCACATTTTTTTGGAACGTTTTTTAAGGAAATTAAAAAAAAACATGAATAATGTGATATTCTTGTTTAGTTTTGTACTATATAATATAGTTCATTAGATAGTGATTTAGAAGCAAATTATGTTCTATTTATAGAATAAAAAATCACTAATAATATCTAAATATTTATACCTATTTATATTTTTTGGACAGGAAGACTATTTTATGTTTTTCACTCTAAATAGTTTTCTTAATAATAATAATAATAATAATAATAATAATAATAATAATAATAATAATAATAATAATAATAATAATAATAATTAATAATAATAATAATAATAATAATAATAATAATAATAATAATAATAATAATAATAATAATAATAATAATAATAATAATAATAATAATAATAATAATAATAATAATAATAATAATAATAATAATAATAATAATAATAATAATAATAATGAGTTTATTCAATACCAAAAAATATTTACATGTAAAATTACAATATTATGCTGAATAAACTACGACTAATCACAGAAGCGTCACCCCAGAAGAGGCTCAGCTTGTATTGTGATATACTTATTTAGTAAGTTCATACATTTGTATCCTTAATATTAATCTTGATTACTATAATAATTTCTATTATCATTCGAGAACTAAAAGATTACAATGAAATTTCAGAATTAAGTGAGTTGTCAAAATCAGGAATAGTTCATAATTATATGAGTTGTCATAATCGGGTGTATTATCATAATCGGGCGTATTGTCATATTCGGGCGTAT